CTCGAGCACTGACGTCAACACGGGCTTCGTTAGATGTGTTTGAAGTCCTGTGTTGGAAGATCTCGCCATCCAATGGAAGGAGGGTCGGTTCTACCATGACGTCCCGGCAGAATTCCTTCAACATATTTGCTGTGAGATCCCTTACCTCATCATGCCTCATGCATATGAAGCCCCCCTTCTTGCAGACCATGGCGTGATCGCCATCATAGGAAGAGCCACACACGCATTGGGAGGGCAAACCTTCTACTGGCCATCCATACCTTAGAGCAATGGTATCTGTAAATTCTTGTTTATTAAGACTGAAACCATTTGCCCTTATCGGTAACATAGCTAACCAGTTCGAGGCGCCCACCTCCTGCGCTATAGCTACTTTTTTTTTAAATTTTCTGGAACCTGCAGCAATAGTTGCTGCAACATATCATTTTGGCAGTGCTGTCGATCTGTCGTAATGGACCTACGAATCTTATTTACTTCGCTGGTGTCCACTTCCCCTATTGCATTCTTGGCTATTATGTGGTCCGTGAGGGCTGCCGTGAGCTTTAGTGAATTTTGATGTTCAGTGGCAGCAATCTCCTCTGGATTTGTTAGTCCCATCCCTCCTAGTTTTGGTGGAAGTGCAAGAAGTGCTCTTTTTGCTGGGGTTAAGTCAGGGTGTTTCACTAATTTGGGAATGAACTTGACACTGATAGCTTCTTCCAGAGGGTGGAGGAGGAGTCCGATTTCAGGGATAGTACGCATCAGGTAGTTCCAACGATGCTTGACCCCATGGGTGAATGCAACAAAGGCCGCATGTGGCTCTGTGTTAGCAATCTCAGACAGAGCTTGGATTTCACTAACCCACTCATTCACCTTTCCCGCTACATACTCGGTCTTGAAGTCCGTAGTGCCAATTACTGCGCCTAGATGTCTTTGGCCGTCCTCAGTTATTTTGACCTCACTTCCGCCAAAAACCTCCAATGCCCGTTCATAATGTTCTGGCTTCACGATGAGGAAGGACTTGCTGGCGTTTGGGTGGTACCCTATTTGTGGACCTCGCGATGTTACCAAGTCCCACCACTTTTTAATGTCCTCCACTTTTCCTGCTCCTGTAAGGTCATCAGCATATGCCACTTGTTTGACCCCACTACTACTACTACTACTACTACTACTACTACTACACACACACACACACTATACTTTCTACCTTTACAACCAAAACCTCTCCTCAAGAAATATAAATAGTTTACTAGAGAGAGAGAGAGAGAGAGAGAGAGGGAAGGGGAGAGAGAGGGTGGGGAGGTCAAGATCCCCTAAAAATGTGTGTGGAGTGTGTAGCGTCTCTCAGGGGAGGTCAGAGGAACCCCCTAACATGACCAGGGCTGGCTAGGTCCAAGGGCGCCACCACCAGCAGGAAGGATCGAACATGGACGGGAGGTAAGAAATGAGAATTGGACAGGTAGGGTACGAGAGAGAGAGAGAGAGAGAGAGAGAGAGAGAGAGAGAGAGAGAGAGAGAGAGAGAGAGAGAGAGAGAGAGAGAGAGAGAGAGAGAGAATATCCTTAATCCCAAGATGAAAGGGAAGGAAGGATAGAGTCAGGACATGCCTAGTCATTTGAGAAAGATAAAGAAAGCGATTAGTAAGAAAATACAGATCTGATGGAAGAAAGATATAAAAACAAAACATGTAATAAGTAACTTTAATTTAATCTGTAACGTTAAAAGTGAAATATAACCAGACTGAAAAATATTTATGCTAACCTAACCTAAACTAACCTAACCTAACGCTAACCTAACCTAACCAAACTTAACCTAACCAGACTGGAAATATATTAATACTCTATCCAAATCCACGAGAGATTCCGGCTGAGTGAATATATCCAACAATAATTTTTTTTTTTTTTTTTTTTACGGTATTAAGATTCAAAAGTTCGTGATACCTGAGAAATAGATTTGAACTTTTGGAAAATCTGAGCAAATCCCGGAGTTAAAAGTTTGATGTCTGTGATTATTGATAAGTTTAGTGATTATTCGAGGCTTAGGAGAACAGATAAACAGGGGGAATTTGATCAAGAACTGGGGAATAATTGTGATAAAAGCCTTACTTGTGAATACATCCTCATTAGCGAGAAAACAATAAAACGTGATCAGTCAGGTAAGTAAAGGTGGGATTTTGGGTCAGTTAGTCATTTACTCAGTCAGTCAGTCAGTCAGCCAGCCAGTCAGTTAGTCACCCACTCACACACCCAGTCAGTCACACAGTCAGTCAGTTAGTCACCCACTCACACACCCAGTCAGTCACACAGTCAGTCAGGTAGTCACCCACTCACACACCCAGTCAGTCACACACCCACTCAGTCATTCACCCAGTTAGTCCTTCACCCAGTCAGTCACACACCCAGTCAGTCACATACCCACTCAGTCATTCACCCAGTTAGTCCTTCACCCAGTCAGTTACACACCCAGTCAGTTCGCTAGCCAACCAGTCAGTCAGTCAGTTAAGAGAGGTATTGAAGGCAGCAACAGGAGAAGGAGGACTTTACTGTATGCCACCGTTCCACACCACACCACACCACACCACACACCACACACCACACACACCACACACACCACACACCACACACCCCACACCCCACACCACACCACACCACACCACACCACACCACACCACACCACACCGCACACCACACACCACACCACACCACACCACACACCACACACACCACACACCACACCACACCACACCACACCACACTACACCACACACCACACCACACCACTGCTGCACACCACACCACACCACACCGCCGTTGCACACCATTATACCACACCACACACCACTGCTGCACACCACACCACACCACCGTTGCACACCACACCCCACACCACCGCTGCACACCACACCCCCACACCACTGCACACCACACCACACCACACCACCGTTGCACACCACACCACTGTTACACACCACACCACCGCTGCACACCACACCACACCACACCACTGCTGCACACCACACCACATCACACCAACACTGCCACAGCCACACCACCGTTGCACACCACACCACACCACACCACGGTTGCACACCACACCACTGTTACACTACACCACTGCTGCACACCACACCACATCACACCACCGTTACACACACACCACTGTTGCACACTACACCACACCATACCACTGTTACACACTACACCACCGTTGCACACTACACCACTGTTGCACACCACACCACACCACACCACACCACTGTTGCACACTCACACCACTGCTGCACACCACACCATACCACCGTTGCACACCACACCACACCACACCACCGTTGCACACCACACCACTGCTGCAACAAGACCGTGCACCCGGAGCCTTGGTGTAATTTACGAGGTGAGGTATAGAGACGGAGCTAAATTATGACCCTTAATAAATCGTTCGGCCAACAAGACTTACCCTCATTATCAGAGGAAGAGACGTGCATACCTCCCTACCTCTACCTCCTACCTCTATCTTCACCTCTTACCTCCTACCTCTACCTCTACCTTTACCTCCTATACCTCCTACCTCCTACCTCTACCTCTACCTTTACCTCCTACCTCCTACCTCTGCCTCTACCTTTACCTCCTACCTCTACCTCTACCTTTACCTCCTATACCTCTAACCTCTAACCTCCATCTCCACCTCCTATCTCTACCCCTTACCTTTATCTCCATATCCACCCCTACCTCCATCCCCCTACCTCCACTACCACTACCTTCACCTACACCCCCTACCTCCACTACCACTACCTTCATCTACACCCCCACCCCACTACCACTTCACTTCACTCCATCCTCTCCACTACCACCACCTTCACCTCCATCCCCACCTCCCACCAACACCACCACCACACCTCCCACCTCCACTACCACCACCTTCTATCTACACCTCCCACTCACTACCACTACCTTCACCTACACCTCCTACCTCCACTACCACTACCTTCATCTACACCCCCTACCTCCACTACCACCACCTTCATCTACACCTCCTACCTCCAACACAACCTCTACCTCTACCTCCAAAATAATAACGCCTAGACTCAGAGCCATGATACAGCAATTGTAATTCCCTGTAACACCTGTAATAACACTGATGAATTACCTGTATTTAATGTCTATATACACATAATGAAGTGCCTGTGTTAATTAGCCTCCATAATACCCCCACTCAGGTGTTAATTAGGCTCTCTCTCTCTCTCTCTGGTTGGGAGAGATGGGGGGGATAAGCTCCCTTTCGTGTAGATGAAAAGAAGAGGAAAAAGGGTGAGGCATAATCTCCCTCTTACTCAAGGCAGCAGAAAAATAGGGAGGCTATATACAGTGTTCATTTGATACACGAGGGAGCTAATAGGGAGTAAAAGGGAGGGAATAGGAGACTTAAACTCCCTCTGTGATAAAGGAAATAAGGAGGGAGATGATACACCTTCCATGGTAAGGAAAAGTGAGAGAAAAGGAGGGTTTCTCTCAAGCGTGGAGAAGGAAGAAGAGAAGGAGGAGGAGGAGGAGGGACATTGGAAGTGGTCAGAAGCAATTTTGCCGGCCAAGCAAGGAAGGAAGGAAGGCAGGAAGGAAGGAAGGAAGGAAGGAAGGAAGGAAGGAAGGAAGGAAGGAAGGAAGGAAGGAAGGAAGGAAGGAAGGCCGGTCAATTAATCACTTGTCTCCCAGCCAGAGTTTTCTACCTTCACTATTCCTCCATCTTCTCTCTCTCTCCCTCATTCTCTCCACCACTTCCCCATCCTCTCTCTCATTCTCTCCACCACCACACACCTATCACCCACCATCCCCCCATCACCCACTACCCCCCAATACTCCAACATTCCCTCCACCACCCCCACTACTCCCCCACCACACCCCCTTCGCTAATTAACACCAGAAAAATGAAACACAATATCAAGCTCAGGTGTAAAGTCTTAGGCATGAAGAGCGGCCATTTTGGTACTCAACTCGACCGTTACTTAATTGTACTCTAAGTCATGTACTCACCGGTGACGTAGATACGGGCGGAGTTAGCGGACTCGTGGGTAGCGCCTGTAAGTGTGTGCACGGCCCGACAGCGAAAAGCCAGCTGTGAATCTGGCGACCGAACATCACGCACCACTAGCTGGCCTGTCGACACCATCTGGATACGACCATCTGCACAAGAGGAGGAGAAACAGGTGGTGAAAATATGGTTTTGTTTGGTTTGGTTAGGTTAGGTTAGAGTTAGGTTAGGTTAGGTTAGGTTAGGTTAGGGTTAGGTTAGAGTTAGGTTAGAGTTAGGTTAGGTTAGAGTTAGGTTAAAGTTAGGTTAAAGTTAGGTTAGCGTTAGGTTAGAGTTAGGTTAGGTTAGGTTAGAGTTAGGTTAGAGTTAGGTTAGAGTTAGGTTAGAGTTAAGTTAGGTTAGGTTAGGATGAAAGGAGGAATGATAATACGTTGAAACATGTGATAATTCTTAAGAGTCGAGGGAATTAATTAATGAATATATTTTATAATGAAGGAATATAGGGATCTGGGAGAACACACACACACACACACACACACACACACACACACACGTCAAACTTAAAATAAAAACCAGTTGGGTGTATTTTTTTTAATCTTCACTACAAGAGTCTTTAAGAATCTAGTATGTGGAGTCTTTATCTTGATCTACATTAACCTATCTAAGTCTCCCTCTTATCATTGATTTAATTTCAGATGTCATCTACTACAAGAGACTCCGAATCTATTAAAGTGATGCAAAACTTTCAATACCTTTACTTAACGGACTAGATGGAGAGGAGAGTCCACTTTCTTGGAGGTCAGTTAGAAAGTGTGTGTGTGTGTGTGTGTGTAAGACTAAGAAAGAAAGAAGAAAAACGGAAATAGAAAAAGTGGCCGAGAAAGAGAGATTGATAGAGAAATGGTCCTGACAGCAGCCTTGGTAGTGTCCCTGGCTCTCTCTCTCTCTCTCTCTCTCTCTCTCTCTCTCTCTCTCTCTCTCCACATCCGCAGACCCCTTAAGGAATAGACGTGGACGACCCTAGAGACACACACACGACCTCTTTGTGTTGTTGTTGACCTTTCTTCTCTGATTCGTAATGGGGCAGATTGGCCACATCTTCCCCCATACACTACCCCCTCCCCACGATCTACCTCCTACCACCACCACGTCGACCCTCACCCCCACCCCCCCACCCCCCACCCCATCCTTCCTTCCCTCACCAACACGCTTCACTTCCTGGACCCCATCCTTCCTTCCCTCACCAACACGCTTCACTTCCTGGAGGAGGTGAAGGGTGAGAGAATTGAGGAGAGGGAGAGAATGGAGGAGAGGGAGAAGGAGAGGAGACGTGGAGAGAAATGTGAGAGGGAGAATTATAGAGAGGTAGGGAATGTAGGAGGGAAGAGAGAGAAAGAGAGAGAATGAAGGAGGAAAAGAGAGGTTAAGATAAACGATGAAAGGTGAGAGGAGAGGGAGTGGGGGAGGGAGTGGGGACGTGATGGAGAGGGAGAGTAAAGAGAAGAGGGGATGGTAGAGTGAGTGAGGAGAGGAGAAAGAAGAGGAGAATTGGAGAATGAGAGATAAACGGGGAAAGAGACAGGTAAGAGAGATGAATGAGTGAAGGAAGTCGAGGGTCAAAGAAGAAGAAGAAGAAGAAGAAGAAGACGAAGAAGAAGAAGAAGAAAAAGAAGAAGAAGAAGAAATCTCGTCCCTACAAGCCCTCGTCTTCCTTCTTATCCCTCCTCCCTCCCCCCTCCCCCTCCCACACAACCTCTGATGGATTTTCCTCCAGGTAATCCAGTAAACCCTCCCCCCCCCCAGGTAGGCACCAGGGGGTGGTAAAGTGGCCCTAGTCACCACCTGGGATTTACGTGGCCAGGGTAGCATAAACTGGAGAGGATTACAGGTAAGAAAAGCACCTGGATATGTGGTTCAGGTGAGGTCAATGTCAAAAGGTAAATCGTTCCAATGGTCATGTGTGTGTGTGTGTGTGTGTGTGTGTGTGTGTGTGTGTGTGTGTGTGTGTGTGTGTGTGTGTGTTTCTAATATATCTGATTCTTTATAATTGAGATGCAAAGGAAGGCAAGAGGTCAAATGATGAAAAGACAGAGAGCAACACCCCAACTTGACCTCACACACACACACAGAGAGTAAATCAACAGTTTCCTCTCATCCATTGCCTGGGGTCTCTCTCTCTCTCTGTCTCTCTCTCTTTCCACAACATCAGCTAGTTACCACAGAATCTTCCTTGCTGCTACAAAAGGATTCCTATAAATACCTTAGCGGTTAAAAGTATAAACAACACGTGTACACGAGTTATATTACAGAGTGTTGGGGAGAAAATGATTATTAAATTTCTTCTCTTGATCAAAGGCGAGTGAAAGCAGAGAGCCAATTTGAGACACGCTAACCATGGGTCTTATTGATGCCACAAGACTAGGTTAAGACTGTGGTACAATATGGTGGTCATATTTTCTGTGTATTGTATAGAATGATGGCAACGTCATGATTGATAGTTGTAGTAGTAGCTGTTGAGTTATTGGCCAATGTTCTGGGAGGGGTAGTAGTTAAGGGGTAGTAGTTAAGGGGTAGTAGCTAAGGGGTAGTAGCTAAGGGGTAGTAGTTCTGAGGTAGTAGTCAAGGGGTAGTAGCTAAGGGGTAGTAGCTAAGGGGTAGTAGTTAAGGGATAGTAGTTAAGTAGTAGTAGTTCTCGGGTAGTAGTTAAGGGGTAGTAGCTAAGGGGTAGTAGTTCTAGGGGGGAAAATAGCTCTATAATTGGAGATAATATTAATAAAAGTACTTACTGAGGTACCACTACTTACCAGCGTTGTGTGAGGGGTAGTAGTTAGTGTGTCCTTGAGTCCAGGAGGTGATAGTGACAAAGTCCTTGACGAAGGGAGGCACCTTACACTGTAGCACCGCCGTGTTCCCCTCCAGGACGTACTGATTGTATACCTGCACCTCCCAGTACTGCTCCACTACTGCAGGAGAACCAGCTTATCAATCCAGAATATTAAGGAACAATGATACAGTGAACCCTCTGTATAACGAACTTTCTCAACGAACTTTCCCGCCATATAGTCCGTTAGATGGGGACAATAATGGACCCTTGGTATAATAATTTTTTATATGAATATTGTTCGTTAGATGGAGGTTTCATATCTAAAGGACCCTCGATATAACGGAATTTCCTCTCCATATTATCCGTTAAATAGAAGATTCACTGTAAATGTTGAGATGAATGATAAGGGAATAAGGGAAGAGGACAAAGAAATATGTACAAGAATAAGGAATGAAATAGAACCAGCGGTGAGGATGATGAGAGAGAGAGAGAGAGATAATGACCACAAAAACGTCTACTATCTCAATTTTCTCTCGCGTATTATCTCTATATGATATTCTCTCTCTCTCTCTCTCTCTCTCTCTCTCTCTCTCTCCTACACACACTTTGTCTCTCATCATCGTACTCAGACAGTTCAAGTGGCATCGTACTCTAAGAACACCAAAAGTTATTGTACTCTAGAGGGTCATGTGTCGTGCATCAGGGCGGTTAGAAAACGATCCGTAAACAGGACAGGGAAAGTTATTGCACACGGGTGGGTTTATACAGCGCTACTTAAGGAACGAGTGCTACTTAAGGAACGACTCCCACCCCCCCGCCACACCTCCTTGATAGATCTTCACGTATTTATTCCAGGTTATGTAAGGATTTGTGTTCGCCAGCCAGGATCATTAGTCATTGTGTTGAAGACTTAGGTTAGTTTAGGTTAGGTTAGTTTAGTTTAGGTTAGGTTAGGTTAGGTTAGTTTAGGTTAGGTTAGGTTAGGTTAGTTTAGGTTAGGTTAGGTTAGGTTAGGTTAGGTTAGGTTAGTTTAGGTTAGGTTAGGTTAGGTTAGGTTCGGTTAGGTTAGGTTAGGTTAGGTTAGGATAGTTTAGGTTAGGTTAGGTTAGGTTAGGTTAGTTTAGGTTAGGTTAGGTTAGGTTAGGTTCGGTTAGGTTAGGTTAGGTTAGGTTAGGATAGTTTAGGTTAGGTTAATGTACCAAAACCTTCAGCCTATGGACAGTCTCTTTATCCTCTCTTCTCACTTCTCTTCACAAATTCTCTTATTGTGTCTTCTGTTTCTGTCCATCATCTCCCACAATAAACAGCTTCTCGGCAGCTTCTCCGTCTTCTTCAGCAACAGTTTCATCACTCTTCCTCTGACCAACTTTTTTTTTTCTCCCTTCCTTCCAAACCATTATTTTTCCTTTACCACAAATACCTTGTCTTAGATCCTGCTTCAATTTAGATGTTTCTCTCTGTTTTATTCTTATCTCTTCATTTTCTTGTAGTAATTATTATTATTCTGTTTCTACCTCACGTCAATATCCACGAGGAAATTAACAACACAAGATGCATATTGTAGAGTTGTATTTTTTTTAACTATTTTGCGGATATTACTTATATTATGATTTCTTTAACGCCAAACGATTTTATTTAACATAGACAGGACTCCTTAAAACACCATATGAATTTGGACACGAAATTTTGTACTAATGTCGAGTTTTGTTTTACGAGGAGGTGAAGAAAGGGGAGCTTGACCAAACTGTAGAAGGTCCGTCAAACGCATTTTTAACACAAGGTGGTATTAGTGTCGAACTAGCAGCACCACGACCCCCTCCTAGCAGCATCACGACCCCACTCCTAGCAGCATCACGACTCCATCCTAACAGCATCATGACCCCATCCTAGCACCACCACGACCCCCATCCTAGCAGCATCATGATCCCATCCTAGCACCACCACGACCCCCTCCTAGCATCACGATCCCTCCCTAGCACCACCACGACCCCTCTAGCAGCATCACGACCCCATCCTAGCAGCACCAAGACCCCCCATCCTAGCAGCACCACGACCCCCTCCTAGCTGCATCATGACCCCATCCTAGCAGCATCACAACCCTCCTAGCTGCACTACGACCCCCATCCTAGCACCACCACGACCCCCTCTAGCAGCATCACGACTCCATCCTAACAGCATCATGACCCCAACCTAGCACCACCACGACCCCATCCTAGCAGCATCATGATCCCATCCTAGCACCACGACACGGCTAGCCTAGCAGCATCAGCTCCTAGCAGCATCACGACCCCCTCCTAGCAGCATCACGACCCCTCCTAGCAGCATCACGACCCCTCCTAGCACCACCACGACCCCCTCCTAGCAGCATCAAGCAGCATCCGACCCCATCCTAGCAGCATCACGACCCCTCTAGCAGCATCACGACCCCCTCCTAGCACCACCACCCCCTCCTAGCAGCATCACGACCCCATCCTAGCAGCATCACGACCCCCTCTAGCAGCATCACGACCCCATCCTAGCAGCACCAAGACCCCCATCCTAGCAGCACCACGACCCCTCCTAGCTGCATCATGACCCCATCCTAGCAGCATCACAACCCCCTCCTAGCTGCACTACGACCCCATCCTAGCACCACCACGACCCCCTCCTAGCAGCATCACGATCCTCCTAGCACCACCACGACCCCTCTAGCAGCATCACGACCCCATCTAGCAGCACCAAGACCCCATCCTAGCAGCACCACCCCCTCCCTAGCTGCATCATGACCCCATCCTAGCAGCATCACAACCCTCCTAGCTGCACTACGACCCCATCCTAGCACCACCACGACCCTCCTAGCAGCATCACGACTCCATCTAACAGCATCATGACCCCAACCTAGCACCACCACGACCCCCATCCTAGCAGCATCATGATCCCATCCTAGCACCACCACGACCCCCTCCTAGCAGCATCACGACCCCCCCATCACTCCTAGCAGCATCACGACCCCTCCTAGCAGCATCACGACCCTCTAGCACCACCACGCAGCATCACGACCCCATCTAGCAGCATCACGACCCTCCTAGCAGCAGCAGCATCGACGCAGCATCACGACCCCATCCTAGCAGCATCACGACCCCTCCTAGCAGCATCACGACCCCTCCTAGCACCACCACCCCCTCACAGCACCCCCATCCTAGCAGCATCGACCCCCTCCTAGCATTCCAGCACCATCACGACCCCATCCCAGCATCACGACTCCTAGCAGCACCACGACCCCCTCCTCCTAGCACCACCACCCCCCTCCTAGCAGCATCACGACCCTCCTAGCACCACCACCCCCTCAGCAGCATCCGACCCCCTCCTAGCACCACCACGACCCCAGCAGCATCACGACCTCCTAGCAGCATCACGACCCCATCCTAGCAGCATCACGACCCCTCTTAGCACCACCACGACCCTCCTAGCACCACCACCCCTTCCTAGCACCACTAGACCCCTTCCTAGCACCACCACGACCCCTCCTAGCAGCATCGACCACCCTCCTAGCACCACTACGACCCGCTCCAAGCAGCATCGACCCCATCCTCGCACCCCACGACCCCCATCCTAGCACCACCACCCCCCTCCTAGCAGCATCACGACCCCATCCTAGCACCACCATGACCCCATCCTAGCACCACCACGACCCCTCCTAGCACCACCGACCCGCTCTAGCAGCATCACGACCCCATCCTAGCAGCATCACGACCTCTCCTAGCACCACCACCCCCTCCTAGCAGCATCATGACCCCATCCTAGCACCACCGACCCCCTCCTAGCAGCATCACCACCCCTCCCTAGCAGCATCACGACCCCTCCTAGCAGCATCACGACCCCATCCTAGCACCACCACCCCTCCTAGACCACCCCCTAGCGACCCCTCCTAGCACCACCACGACCCCCTCTAGCACCACCGACCCCCACCTAGCACCACCCCCCTCCTAGCAGCATCATGACCCCCTCCTAGCAGCATCAGCTCCTAGCACCACCGACCCCTCCTAGCACCACCACCAGCAGCATCATGACCCCTCCTAGCACCAGACCCCCCTAGCACCACCACGACCCCCTCCCACCACCGACCTCCTAGCACCACCACGCTCCTAGCACCACCCCTCCTCCTAACAGCATCACGACCCCCTCCTAGCAGCATCACCCCCTCCTAGCAGCATCACGACCCCTCCTAGCACCACCGACCCCCTCTAGCACCACCACGACCCCCTCCTAGCAGCATCATGACCCCTCCTAGCACCACCACGACCCCTTCCTAGCACCACCGACCCCCTCCTAGCACCACCAGTCCCTCCTAGCACCACCACGAGCACCGGTTAGCTCATTCCTAGCAGCATCTCCTAGCAGCATCACGACCCCCTCCTAGCAGCATCACGACCCCCTCCTAGCAGCATCACGACCCCCTCCTAGCAGCATCACGACCCCCTCCTAGCAGCATCACGACCCTCTGGCAATGATGCTGGTCTTGAGTGAGATGACAGTGGAGATAATTGGTGAGTGAGTCGAGGGTCGAGATGGTTCTTGTGTCTCTCAGGCAGGGAGGTGGAGGAGCGGGCGGCACTCTTGTTCACGATATTATGGCCCACGACTCCTACTGCTGCGACTCCTGCTGCTGCGACTCCTGCTGCTGAGACTCCTGCTGCTGAGACTCCTGCTGCTGAGACTCCTGCTGCTGAGACTCCTGCTGCTGAGACTCCTGCTGCTGAGACTCCTGCTGCTGAGACTCCTGCTGTTGTCTTCTTCAGCCAGTTTTAGTGTTTTTTTCTTCTTCTTGTTCTTTTTCTTCTTCCTCTTCTTTCTCTCCTTTTTTGATTCTCCTTCCTCTCTTTCTTCTTCTTCTTCTTCTTCTTTTTTTCTTCTTCTTGTTCTTCGTTTTATTTTTTGCTTCTCCTCCCATTCTTTCTTCCACTCCTTCATCTCCTTCCCCTTCTTCTTCTCCTCCTCCTCCCTCACTTTTTTTTTCAACTTTTCTTTCTGATCTTCCTACTCTTCCTCCCATTCTTCCTCCACTACACTATATACACACTTGGTCTCCGTCCCAGCTATCATCAAGACAGCCTCCCGACCTCCCAGCAGATGACCTTCACTCAGAAAAAAAAAGTCCTGAGATATTTTTGTTTGCTTTCTCAGCGTTTCCACTCTCACAAGCTTCACCTCTTGGGGAAAAAAATGGGTTTATATTTTCCCAAATTTTCTTATTTTTTTCTGTTTTTATTGATCTATTTTTTTCCATTTTTTAATGTTTAAGTCAGGCTAAATCTAAATTGCCTGAGGTTAGGTTAGGTTAGGTTAGGTTTAGGTTTAGGTTAGGTTAGGTTAGGTTAGGTTTAGGTTAGGTTAGGTTTAGGTTAGGTTTAGGTTAGGTTTAGGTTAGGTTTAGGTTAGGTTAAGTTAGGTTTAGGTTTAGGTTTAGGTTAGGTTAGGTTAGGTTAGGTTTAGGTTAGGTTAAGTTTGGTTAGGTTAGCGTTAGGTTAGGGTAAACCATATTATTTGCTTTCGTAATACCGAGAGATTAATTCGATTGGAAATAAGGTTTATTCATTATTTTTTTATTTAATTTATTAATACATTAAGAAAATGTCCACATTGAACCCAGAGAAATAAATACACTGTGAAATAACTATCATAAAGTGGATATTAACACAGGGAAAAAGTTACTGAATATTTTTGACTCAGTTCTGTAATTTTTATTTTATTTTTTTGGGGGAGAGAATATTAAATATGAGGAAAATAATGTTAGTTGTTCTGATTTTTTTAAACTGTAGTTGGAATTATAGTGAGTCATGATGATGTAACATGTGATGGTGGTGGTGGTGGTGGTGGTGGTGGTGGTGGTGGTGGTGGTGGTGGTGGTGGTGGTGGTGAGTGGTGGTGGTGGTGGTGGTGGTGGTGGTGGTGGTGGTGGTGGTGGTGGTGGTGGTGGTGAGTGATGATGATGGTGGTGATGGAGGTGATGAAGAAGATGATGATGATGATGATGATGATTACGGTAATAATATTATAATAAAGTATATGAGATAATAATGATAATGAATATAAAACTAGTGATAACATGAGGAGAGGGGTGAACACATAAGAACACAGTGAACACATAAGAACACTCACCTGCCCTGACGTGAGTGTCGCGTGAGAGGACGGTGCCAGCCGAGGAGGACGCCCTACACCTGTAAGTGGAGGAGTGAACGGCAGCCCTGAACGACTCACTGGCGAAGGGCAGGAACATCAGGGTCCCATTATTCAGCACCTACAGGAGGGAAAAGGTCAAAAGGTCAAAAAAAAGGACAAAAATGGATATAAAAGCCAAACAGGTCCAAAAGGTCTAATAAGGTAAAAAGGGCCAATAAAAGGTAAAAAATAAACAAAAAAAAGCAAATAAAAGGTAAAAAAAAAAGATCACGTGAATATCGAAGGTTAATGATAAAGACTACAAAAAAAGGTTATTGGTCATGTTTTATTTATTTGTTGAAATGTTATCAAATAAGTATGTTGTTGTTTGTTCATACGTAGATAATGTTAAGTGCATCAAGTTATATAATAATGATAATAATAATAATAATAATAATAATAATAATAATAATAATAATAATAATAATAATAACTATAACAATAATAATAATAATAATAATAATAATAATAATAATAATAATAATAATAATAATAATAATAATAATAATAATAACAATAATAATAATAATAATAATAATAATAACAATAATAATAATAATAATAATAATAACAACATAATCATAAACTAAAAAAATTCCCACCATTAGGAAAAATAAAAAAAATCTTGGGAATCAGGACGGAATTCAGAGTGAACAAACCCAACACACTATGAACCAGACCTGTGATGAATACAAAGTAGGATTGGGAGAAAAATTCACATAAAATTCAGAGGTAAGTTGAATAGATAGGCAAATAAATTTATGCAGCGCTTGTGTGTGTGCGGGGGAGGGGGGGGTGACGGCCGGAGTGGAGGTGGGTGGGTGGTAGGAAGGTGGGGGTGGGAAGGAGGTGAGTGGGATGGGAGTGGGAGTGGGGAGGGAGGTGGGAGTGGGAGAGAGACTCAGTTGGCATATATAATCACGTAGGGTACAAGGTTAAAGAGATACTTGATGGAATTTTTACAGGAAATATTAAAAAAATAATAATAATTAACTTTATATTATTAAGAAAATATATTTATTCCTTATTAGAATATAAAACTCATATAAATTCCTTTGACCTTTGACCTTGTATTTATGAGGTGAATATTTTCTTAAAGATCTGGTACTGACTGTTATGAAAATGCTTAGAAAACAACCAAAACAAACAACAACGAAAAACCACGAAAACAATAACAAAAACAACGAAAATCACCAAAACCACGAAAACAACAACAAAAACAACGAAAAATCATGAAAAAACAACGAAAAATAACAAAAACAAAAACAACGAAAAAACGAAAATCGCCAAAACCACGAAAACAAAAACAAGAAAAACAACAAAAATCACAAAAAAAATCAAATAAACTATAACCTCGATTAAGGACAATAATAAATGACGCAATATCGGATGAAGGAAAATGAGAAATAAAACAGATAAATGAATAAATAAAGGAATAGTCAAATAGAACACAAACCCGTCAAAGCAACACTGTATTGCAAAATTAATTACGGGTGAAACTACAATGGATTTGGAAGGTTTGGGTGACAATAGACAGAGTATTTGACAGACAGACAGTGACTGATATGAAACATTTTGGACGCAACTAGATTAAAAAAAACCCTCCCCCCCGTGTGTGTGTGTGTGTGTGTGTGTACTTTTGTCTCCCTCTCTCACAGACAGACAAAGAATTAAACGTAAAATGAAAGACAGAAACACAGACAGACAGACAGAGACAGACAGACAGACAGACAGACAGACAGAGAAATGGAACGCTATCTACAGAGAGAGAGAGAGAGAGAGAGAGAGAGAGAGAGAGAGAGAGAGAGGTGAAGGTACTGAATCATGAAGAGTTCCCCTTCAAAAAAAAGTTTTCATTACAAATTACTTTTAAAAGTTTGAGTGATGGGGGTGGCGAGGGGGAGAGAGAGAGAGAGAGAGATACGAGGGAGGGAAGCAGTAAGATAAACATGAGGGAGAGACGAGAGAAAAGAGATAGAGAGAAAATGTGATAGACAGAGAGACAGAGAAAGGGAAAAAGTACTTGAAATAGTAACCCGGAGAAAAGGAAATGAGAGAGAGAGAGAGAGAGAGAGAGAGAGAGAGAGAGAGAAATTAGAAGGAAGATACAAATATGTAAGAGAAAGAGACATAGAGAAAGGAATAAGAGAGAGAACGAGAGAAGAACAAGGAAATATATAAACAAGATGACTTGCACAATCCACTCCATTACGTCATCAACATTCAGGACAGTGATAGGTGGATTGTGTTGTTGTCATATTAGATGAGTGTCATCCCCACCTCTTTTAAAGATGGTTCATGACAAGAATAGAACGAGTTATAAGAATTGGTTCTGTTTGAGGGGATACGGGATGTAGTTATTAGTGTCAATTTCATTCCTAAATTAGTGAAACACCCTAACTTAACCCCAGCAGAAAGAGCACTTCTTGCACTTCTATCAAGACTGGGAGGGATGGGACTAACAAATCCAGAGGAGATTGCTGCCACTGAACATCAAAATTCACTTAAGCTCACGGCAGCCCTCACGGACCACATAATAGCCCAGAATGCAACAGGGGAAGTGGATACCAGTGAGGTAGATAAGATTCGTAGGTCCATTACGACAGATCGACAGCACTGCCAAAATGATAAGTTGCAGCAACTGTTGCTGCAGGTACCAGAAAATTTGAAAAAAAAGTAGCTATAGCGCGGGAGGTGGGCGCCTCGAACTGGTTAACTACGTTACCGATAAGGGCAAATGGTTTCAGTCTTAATAAACAAGAATTTACAGATGCCATTGCTCTAAGGTACGGTCGGCCAGTAGAAGGTTTGCCCTCCCAATGCGTGGCTCTTCCTATGATGGCGATCACGCCATGGGGTACAAGAAAGGGGGCTTCATATGCATGAGGCATGACGAGGTAAGGGACCTCACAGCAAATATGTTGAAGGAAATCTGCCGGGATGTCATGGTAGAACCGACCCTCCTTCCATTGGATGGTGTGATCTTCCAACACAGGACTTCAAACACATCTAACAAAGCCCGTGTGGACGTCAGTGCTCGAGGATTCTGGATGAGGGGACAGCGAGCTTTCTTCGACATCAGGATTTTTGATCCCATGGCCGCATGTCACCGTAACCTAGCTTTCGATGCTGCACATAGGAGGAACGAGAACGACAAGAGAAGGGCATATGGGGAGAGAATTCAAAACGTTGATCAAGGCAGCTTCACTCCTCTAGTGTTCACAACCTCTGGCGGGATGGGACCAAGTGCAAGATGTTTCTATGCCAGACTCGCGGAGTTGATCTCCGAACAGAAGCAGCAGCCCAGAAGTTATGTTACAGCCTAGATGACATGTCGACTGTCTTTCTCTCTCCTTCGGTCGGCTTTGCTTTGCCTCAGGGGAACGAGAGCTTCTGCCCCAACTCAGACAACTGCTGCAGATATTGACTATGAGGCTACTGTCACTGAATGCCACACATAGATCTGCGGCTCAACTAATTTAACACAGATAGGATAGCTACTTATGTATTAGGATATTTAATATTAAGGTAATTAAATGGTGGCGAAGGTGTGGCTATTGGGGGAGGCTGGAGGTTTGTGGAAAAAAAAAGTAGTAGTAGTAGTCGTAGTAGTAGTGTTGCTGTTGTTATTATTATTATTATTATTATTATTAGTGTTGTTCTTGTTGTTAGTAGTATATTAACAACTTATATTCATTTTCACATATTATTTTCAACTAGGAATTTTTTATTTTATTTCCCAGCTTGGCCTAAAACCTTTATAAATATCAAGTATTGTTCACATTTTTTCTTCTTTACAATTGAACTCGAATTAAAATCTTTGATCACAATCTATTTTTTTTTACCTGGCATGAAGTACAAGGTAAAATTTTCCTTTGAGCAATTAAGAGTAAATGCGTGAGACTCAGGTGTAAATGTGATTGGTGATATTTATTAATTGAGGAGGGGGGGGGGGAGGTTAAAGGTTATTATTCTTATTATTATTTTGTCTTTTGTGTCTCTATCTCTCAGCAGGACACTATCTCTATCTCTCAGCTGACCACAACCATTGTCTCTCAGCTAATCTTCAACATTATCTCTCAGCTCACCACACATCAGATTACCACCCCATCAGCTGACCACCACCACCACATCAGCTGATCAGGTAAACAAACACCCATTCACCTGTCTGAGGGCGGGGATGCTGTTGACAGGAGATCCATCACGGTTGACCCAGGTGACTGAAGGAGGAGGCGACCCACCAGCTCGGCAGGACACGGCGCCTCCTGACGAAGATACGAACCAGAGTCTTGACGGTGGTTCCTCCATCCATACAGGGGCCTCTACCCCAGCCCGCGCCCATACTGTGGAGAAAAAAAAGAAGAAAAAAATGATAAATTAGTTTGACGAATAAAACCTCCTCTTATTATTATATAGTATTAAGTTAGAATAATAATAAATAATAATTATACCATCAACAATAACACAAATGGTCAACAACTACAACAACAACATCAACAACAACAAATACAACACGAAAGCTACAGTAATATTTCCGCTTTGATAAAACATAACAAAGCCCTATTTTTTTTATTCAATATTTACCACTAATATTTAACGACAATGTGATGGAATTTGATAAACACCTCTTTTTTATATATATGATTTAACATTATGAATACATAATTTTGTATCACGAGAATTTGCTCATTTGAAATTACATTGGTGCTGTATTTTTTGTAAGCGACGTGTTACAGTAATCCATCCTTGTATTCCGGGCGTATTACAGCTCACGTTACAGGATATTGGCCATTAAGGGGATGAATATTGGGTACAATTTTGAATCGTTCTCTCTCTATCTCTTTTCTCTTCCTCTTTTCCTTTTCCTTCATTCTATTTCTACTATTTTCTCTTTCTGTTCCTCTCTCTCTCTCTATTCCTCTCCTTCCTCTATCATTCCCTCTTACTCTCCGTCTCTCTCCCACCATCCAGGGCTTCAGTGACACCATCATAAGCAGGAAAAGAAGCTTATCAGGGGACATCCTTCAAGATCCTACACGCATGCCGGAAGGATGTCAAAGATCGCCGGCATCCCTGGGGACATAAGGCTCCTGGGTCCTCTTCTTCATCCTCCGGCTCACATCCGGCTGACGGAAGGCTAGAGAGCGACCGTCAGCGACCGTCAGCGACCGTCAGCCAGCAGTATATGGCATCGTGGCTTTTTTGAGGTTGACGGAATGAGGTGACTTAATCTATCTTAAATTATGTATGGCGACTTAATAATAATAATAATAATAATAATAATAATAATAACAACACAACCCTCCATACAACAACTACGTATCCAGATGTATTAACCAACCACAATCAAACCACCGCATTCCACCATATTATTCCTAATAGAATCTTGAGTGGGGTTGGGACAGGTCAAAGGACATTGGGTCATCTTTAAGTCAACATCCTCAAACATACAGACCCTGGTGTGTCCTGCTGCCCCCGAGGGAAGTCCTGCCCCATCCTCACAACACTTGGTGCCTCAACCTGTCCACCACCCACCGCAAGCCGCGCCCGTGTCTGAGCTGTCTCCACCAGGGCTACCTGGACCTGAGGACACCACCCCCGGCTACCTGTACCCCACCGACATGTCGACGAGCACACCATCACAATAACACTAAAAGGTGTGTCCCTCAATGTTGTCAATGCCTATGTGCCTCCCTCCACCCCTACTGTACCTGTCCCACCACACCATATCACCTCCACCACCCCCACTGTACTTCGCCACGGCTAGTACATTGGCAACCCTGAGCCTGGCCGCACTGTTTGTAAACTTTGTGGTCAACAGACTCACACCCTCCTTCACCACATCCTCATTTGCCCTATGACCTCCCCCTACAGGGGTGGCACCTCTTCCCTCCTCCTCCTAGTGACAGGCCTGGCACTTGACATTATTAGGGACCTGCTACACTTTGCCATAAACAGATAAATTGTACCGGGAATTATCCCCCCACACACTCATCATTGTCACTTTATGTAACTTGCTGACAAAACCCATGACCCTTCAGGCCATTTACGCCCTTAATGCATGAGTCATAAAGGCAAGCATGAACTCCGCATGCTTCCCAGTTGGGCACTGTAAACGCTTCTGCGCTTCACCTTGCACAGGATGTAAGGGGGTGCCCAATAAACTAGCCCCCTCGGGGGCAATCTGTAATCTGTAATCAGACTCTTAGACGTAGACTTGACCTGTGTGTGTGTGTGTGTCTATCGATTAAATTTCTTATTTTAAAGGTGATATTAACAGGACAGGTGTATAGTGGTGGTAGACAGGTGTATAGTGGTGGTAAACATGTGTATAGTGGTGTTAGACAGGTGTATAGTGGTGGTACACAGGTGTATAGTGGTGTTAGACAGGTGTATAGTGGTGTTAGACAGGTGTATAGTGGTGGTAGACAGGTGTATAGTGGTGGTAGACAGGTGTATAGTGGTGTTAGACAGGTGTATAGTGGTGTTAGACAGGTGTATAGTGGTGTTAGACAGGTGTATAGTGGTGTTAGAGAGGTGTATAGTGGTGTTAGACAGGTGTATAGTGGTGTTAGAGAGGTGTATAGTGGTGTTAGACAGGTGTATAGTGGTGTTAGACAGGTGTATAGTGGTGTTAGACAGGTGTATAGTGGTGTTAGAGAGGTGCATAGTGGTGTTAGACAGGTGTATAGTGGTGTTAGACAGGTGTATAGTGGTGTTAGACAGGTGTATAGTGGTGTTAGACAGGTGTATAGTGGTGTTAGACAGGTGTATAGTGGTGGTAGACAGGTGTATAGTGGTGTTAGACAGGTGTACAGTGTTGGCAGTACAAGGATAACTGATTTAAACCATAACAAAAACACTACAGAATAAACACGGGCACAGATAATCCACGAATTCTACAGAAGTATTAATTTAGGTTAGATTAAATTATAAGTTAATCTAGGTTAAGCTCAATTAGGTTCGGTTTCAGTCGATCAAATTAATCTTTGCTTGGTTCCATTATTTCTATTAATATTTAACTGGATTTGTTTAGCCGATATTAAATTGATTTGACCACACACACACCACACACACACACACACATACACACACACACACACACACACACACACACACACACACACACACACACACACATAGCGAGTGTAGATATAAAATTCCCAGGATGATATTTTGGTAAAGTTAACAGCGGCCGAACTTTATCTAAATCCCACTGGGAGAAAAAAATGCTGTTTTTACTCTGTTAAAACTGTCTGATAATAGTCTTTTTATTTTTTACCAGGAGGGGGGGGCGTCAGAACCCCTGAAGGGCACACCCATCCACATACACACTACCACTATTACTTTGCTGTCTCTAGGAATCGAGTATGACGATCATCCAGCTATGATGCAATGGTATGAGTCATTATTATTATTATTATTATTATTATTATTATATTATTATTATTATTATTATTATTATATTATTTACCAAACCACCTTTTTTCCCTTTCTATACTCATTTTCCTAATCGTTTCAGAGTTAACTATAACAATCCCACACTATCTATATTCACCACAGAGGTTTTCCACGCAAACAGTTCCCCAAATTACCCCCTTAAATTCTAACCCAATTAGCGTTCATTACACTCAGTGAAAATAGTTGAACTTGGGGGGGAGGGGGGTCGGGTGTTGGGAGGGTCAGCTGGGGGCTGGGGCTTTGGGGGGGTTCCATGGTGTGGGGGAGTGTTCTGCCAGCCACTTGGACCAGAGGATGGCAGGAGTGCCTAAATCAGGGAAATGGAAGCAGCAATTGAATATATGTGATTGACGTTGATATTACCAAATTACCAAAAAATCAACCAATGAACATAGGAAATCATATAATATCACTAAAAGTTCATTGAAACACTCTTGACCATTTTATATAAACTGTATGTCCAGAAGGAATAACGCTCTCCTCTTAAGTCAAATGAAAAACGTAATCAAAGGTTCACTGAAACTTGATCAAGGAGAAGTAACGTGAATGTAAATGACTCCAGACATTTTTCTAAGGTTCTCCTTGGACATAATATTAAACTAATTATCACGTTTGAGGGAACTAATATAACTTAGAATGTCAGAATTATCTACAAAGTCTCGCATGATATAATTTCATCCTAAAAAGTGTACGGTGGTAAACTATGAAAGTTACCCATCTTATGATTCGTTTTCTGTTATATCAAATTCCGTGAGCTCCCATTGCTCTTCAACGCTCACACATTATGCGGTTTTCAGACACATTATGTGGTTTTAACACATTATAGGGTTTCGTCACTTATTCACCTGAAAATCCGCTTTGCTTATAGGTGTACGAACTCATGTATTCGAGTTAAAATCCAGGAAAAACATAGCGAGTAAAGCTACTCAATTTTCCCGCGCTTCTGTCACGTGACTGTAAGCGACCAATCAGCGGCCATCTTGTGGCGCCAGGTGACAGACGGTCCGTGCATGACGTTTGCCTGGCGCCATTTAAGCATGTTTATCTTTATCTTTGTGCCATTTTTGGATTATTACGCGTAAATTACTAATATGGTGGGATAGTGGTTCTAGTACGTCTGTTGTACATATTAGGCAGTCTGTAGTGTGTGTGATAACGCAGTGTTGTGAAACAAAAGCGTAATAAAGTAAAGGTATATCCGAGTGTTGTACAAAAACTAACGTGGTATTCCAGCACTACCTGTATATATAATCGGAAGTCACAAACAAAAATAATGTTTTTTCTATGTTTTTGACGACGAGTTAGAAGAATATGACCTTTACTTTCGGTGCCAATGAATATTTCGGGAGATATGACCCACTAGCAACGACGATAGTTGAACCAAATGGGCAGAGCTTAGAAGACACCAGCAAAATAAAAGTACTTAAAAGGCTCATCAACCGGACCTATCTTTGCCTAACGTAAAATAAGACCTACATTTACGAAAACTGACCTTATTTAACTGATAGATGAGGACAAAAGTGAAGGAAAAGCATTTGAGGTGCAGATGCCGGATCATGTTGTGTTGACGGGGTGACCAGAACGAGTGCAACAATACTAGGTTCACCAAAACTGCTAAATTTTTTCGTCATTAGTAAGGAATTAGCTTATTTTATTTTAACGTATTAAAATGAATTATCCGGCTATTTTTCTTTAGATTACAATTGGAATCCACCAAAAGTGCTAAATTTAGTCCGAAAACGCTCACTTTAGTCACCCTGGTTGTCATGCGAAAATAAGCAATACAAGAAGAGCGTTACTTAATACTCCCCCAACGGTTAAATAATATAAGAGTTTTTATAAATAGGGTTTATTTTACGTTAGAATAGGTCCGGTTGACAAAG